CCACAGGACGGGAGAAGCCACAACTCATCCAGGCCTCCACCCATCAGGGAGAGACCCCTGCAGCGCTGAGGACCAGGAGGTGACCCCGAGCTGCCTGGGGGTGAGTGGGGGCCTCCCCCAGCGCGGGGGAGCTGAGAGAGGGGCAGCGTGCTCAGAGGTGTGGTCAAGTTCATTGTTCCAAAGGGTCTCAGTGGGCAGTGAAGGGTCCTGAACTCGAACTCGGGTGAGGCAGAAGGAACCATCCCAGAAAAGGCCTCCCCAGCTCGACCTCACTCCTGCCCCCTCCACCCCGTCTGGACGGAGCCACTGGAAGGCCCAGTCCCCCCAGCAGCCCTCTCCCTCTGCCCCTGTCCCCCCCTGCTTGCCCAACCTGCCCCTCGCTCCCTTCTGCCTGCCTACGTCTATTCCTGACCGCTGGGATCAACCGCAGCTGAGGGGCCTGCCCTCGAGGTGGCCAGTGACCGGGTCGGGAAGAGGCCAGGACTGACGCACCCGGCCTTCCTGACCGGTCTCACACCCGTCTCAGGCTTGACCTCAGCTGGCAGCCCCGCCCCTCCTCACTGCCTCATTAGTGAGGGGCGGGGCTGAGTCCTGCCTCCCCCTCCCGCCCCACCCTGCGGGGGCATTGTCTGGGGCGAGGCCCATTGTGCGGGGAAGGAAGCCTCATTGGCAGGCCAGGGGACACAGGCTGTGATGATCTGTCCCTGGTCTTGATTGGCTGGAGGCAGAGGGGGCTCCCCAGGGCCCTGGGACACAAGTTTGAACAGCAACTTTCTCCAGCATGAAGTGACATGTGTCCAGGCCCCGGAGAGAAGGTGCACCTGCCCGGGCAGGATGGCGTTCTGCGGGATCTTCCTGGGTGCGTACCACCCCAGCCCCGGCACCCTCCCTGCCTGCTCACTGTTTCTGCTGAGATGCCAAAGGGGCTAATCAGCGATGCGTGTCTTCCCACCAGTGCTCAGTGCTCTTTTCTGGGCAGCCCAGGAGGTGACAGACACATGGTCCCTCCCAAGCGACAGCTAGGGCCCTTCTGGAAAGGGCTGCCTCCCCTTCGGCGGACCCTGGGGCTTGCAGACGTTCTGACGTCTCAGAGCCCTGGGAATGCTGAGTGGGGAGGGCGGTGGGCTGGGTGTCTGCAGGTGCCAGCCAGGCCTCTTCAGCTAATGTACCTGCCCTTCAGGTCTGCCCAGCAGGCAAGGCAGCCGCAGGGTGTCAGGAGAGCCTGGCCAGGCAGGCTCTGTGGGGCGGTGGGTGGAGAGAATGTGAGTGTGTGACAGATGTCCCCCTGGGGCTTTGGCTGGGCTGCTGCTCCTTGTGTCTCATCACAGCGAAGTTACTGTGTGTGAGCGCGCATGTGTGAGTGTGTGCACGTGTGTGTGAGTCTCACGAGCCAGTCGCCAAGCATTTGTGAGTTTCTGCATGAGTGTGAGACAGACACACAAAGTCAGCCCAGAGTGTGGGTGAGAGTGGCTCCTGGTTTTGTTCGCTCCATCTGCCAGGGCCGGCCTGGGGCAGCGCCCCCGCCCTCAGCTGTTCTATACAATATTAATGCTAACCATCTCGCCGCACACAACGGCCCTAATTGTCGTCTGCAGCATTAAGGCAGGCGCCCATCTGCGGGGAAGCTTTCAGAAGGAAACAAGAAAACCCTCACCCCCAGCTGGTCACCGGAGAAGGTGGTGCCAATTACAGATGCAGAAAGTTTAGACCAAAATTACTTGAAAGAGTTTTTATGAAGCAAATGAACTGACACTTGGAATGTCTGTGTGCAGATTTGCACAAGTAATTACACTTTATTTGAAATGATCTTACCAGCTAAGCGATCATTAAGCCTGCTTCCCCAGCTCACACAAAGCACTTGCGCAGGGAGCACGCAGCAGCCGCAAGTGTAGTTTTAGTTTAGTTTTGCAAATCTCCCTTTTTCCTCCCGTGAGGATTCTGAGAACCCACCAGTCAGACAGTTGTTTCCCTGTAGATCTCCCCAAACTTGATATTAAAAGTTGGCATGCGACTTCCCCACCGATTTTTATGAAATAAAACCTAAAGGAATAGCATGCACCAGGCTCAGTTATGGGAAAGAAAATATTTTATGATTTTTAAAAACCCTGATAAATGTTCACCCCATGTAAGAAAAAGAGTTTTAGAATATACCTTTCTGTTGTCACTTACAAGTACGGATCCGCTGGGGTTGGGAGCCCTGGGTTTGGAATTGCCCCTCTCAGCCTGGAGTTTATCGCCTGCTGGATGCTGGCGCAAACCCCTGAGTCTTCCGAGCGCCCAGAACAAAGGCCGGAGCGTATGGAGAGAGCGCTGTCCAAAGTGCTGATCAGACCTCGGTCCACCCACCGCTCAGGCTCCTTCCTGGGGCTGGAGGGAAGCGGCAAACCTGAGATACTGGCGGGCAAACTCCTCTGCCCTGCTCTTTTCCCGTGACTCCCTCTTTGTTCTCTTGATGGTGTCAGCTAAAGATTTGGAACCTTTACTCACCCAAACCCGTCTTCTGAAACTGCTCCTGCGGCTTTACAATCTCCCAGTGGGAGCCCCCAGGGCTCTGGGCTCTGCCAGCCAGAGCTGATTCCAAGTTTCAAGCACTTTCTGGATGCCCCTCCCCCAGCAGCCCCAGGTAGGGTCTGGGGCCCCCATTCCCAGAGCTACACACCTCAGGGAGCATGTGGTTGTCCAGAGGGGAAGGTGAAATGCTGAGAACTGAAGTTCGTGCAAATATAATTTCTATTGCCTGAAGAAACTATCGTGCCTCATGAGGTCCTTCTGTTGCACATACTGATTTCTCCCTGTCGTCACCCCCATTTTGCTGTTGTTTCTTACGTTCTCAGCTAGCACATGTCTGAATTAAATAGCTGTCAGGAAACACTGGGTGTTGTTGGGGAATACGGCTGATTCAGCACCGGCCCTCCCTCTGATTCTATCTCCATGCTGAACAATGGCCCGCAAGGCTGCCCTGAGCCTGCAGCCTGCCGATAAGAGTTTAATAGAATTTCTGAATGCCGGAGGTTTGGGATGTAAAATATCCCAGCACTCACAGCGTGTCCAGAGGAGATAGAAATGGCTTTTCAGGAGTGCTCTCAGCTGAATGTGTCCTTTTATGCTAATGGATATGAGTTTATGAAAGAATAAAAAACCGGTAGGCAGTCATTGTAGGAGCCTCAAACTGTTCTCATTTGGCTAATTAATATTTCATCCTCAGTTTGACCAGTGCAGGCTTGCATTCATTTCGTTTTGCTCAATCTAAATGAATGCCCTGCATGCATTTTGTGTTTTATTTGTTGAGAATAATGTGTATGCATAAAAATCTAACATACTTGCTGTTGGGATGAAGCTTATAGGTTTATATGTAATGTGTAGAGCATGAACTGCATGTTGAAATAATCTAATATTTTCAAAACATGCTCTCTTAGAGAAAGCTAAATGTTTTAGTTCTGTCTCATTCATACCTTTGGTGGCTTGAGTCCTCTAGTGCGAATTAAGGTGAGGGCATTTTTTCCTACATAATTTACCAAGACATGACATTTAGTGTCTGTTGAAGTCTCTGCACTGAACTTCTGAGACATGAGTTTTACTAGTTCTCCAGCTGGCCTGTGATGGTCTTTGCAGGTATCTGAAATTCAGTTTTCATACTTGTGTCTCACAGTATAGTTTCTAACATCCTGATATGACAAGAGACTAGATTTATCAGAACAAGAAGGGAATTTGGATAGCAAACAAGAGCCCCCTGGCTCTTGTGTAGTCCATTGAGGAAATTCCTATCTTTATCCCTGAATGTGGAAAAAAGTCACAAACTGGCAGATGAGAAAGCACAGGGCCAGGGCGCACAGAGGGGCGGGCACTTCCATTGTGTGTGTGTTGTGGGCTTTTCTCTTCTCGGTTTTCATTGGATAGCTTGTTTCAGGCAGTTTAGAAAAGAGTTGGGAGAAGAAGGAGCAGAAAACTTGAGCAACGTGCTTCCCTCCGGTTGGGACAAACGTGTGCTGTTAGGGATTGGGACGTCTGTGCCTCCGGGTCCCCGAGTTCTCTTTGGGATGGTTCTGTTGTTTTAAAAATTAAGACAAAAAGGGAAGTGTGACAACAGAAAAATGTATTTTCCTGATCTATTCTTTGTGCACATGACTTTATTTTTTGGTCTGTAGCCATAGGTACCTTTGATGCAGTTAAAAACACACACACACATCCATTTAAGTCACTGGTACTTGAATATGCAGATGAGCCAATATGTGATATTCCTGGCTCACTTGAGTAATAAATTCTGCAGCCTGTTCTTTACGACGGTAGGTCATATTCCTAACCACCAATAAATATTGTAAAGTACTTTCGCTGCAGCCATGCTAACCCAGGGCATCTGTCATTCCGGTCGCTGCTATTAGGAATTATTGGACTGAACCACTGGCACAGGAAGCAGAGGGGGGTGAGCAGGCAGCTGTAATGCTCTCTGCCCTTTTGTGTGTCTCGCACTGAAAAAAAACCCTCAACATGCTGTACATAGATTATGGATCAGTGTGGGCAAGTGTGGGCACCTTCTGTTGGCTGAGGCTCAGAGCAGGGCACGGGGCTCTGCCAGCCTGGGCACCTCTCACCCCTGACTCCCCAGACCCATCTTTCTGATGCTATACTGTAAATTTATTTCACCTCAGAGAGTAAACAGATATATTGGCGCCCCAAGGGTTCATGGGTAGCGTATTTACAAAGGAGCCTCCTGCGCCAGCCCGTGCCACCGCTAATGAGAGCCGTCATTAAGTAAATGAGACGTCGCCGTTAGCTGGCTTAGGAGTTCGCACACTAAGGGGAGAAGATATTTAATTGAAATCCGCACACAGGCTTCCCCACATGTGACCGCTGCGAGGGAGGCAGCTGCCTGCCCTCTCCTCCCCCAAGTCCACCCGGCACCCCCCATGTAAATTTCATGATTGCTTTCCGTGATGTCATCTTGAAAGAGGACAGACAATAGCTGTGGGGAAAGGTAAGTCAATGCTATGTTCTTTCGCTGACAAAGGCAGATACCCAGTGCCTGGCTTTCCCCCTGGACAGCGGGGAGAGGGCGTGCGGGCAGAGTTGATCTCTAAGGCGAAGGCTTTCTTTACGGGCAGAGCAGGTCTGGGGTGGCTTTTAAAGCTGCCCTGGAGGACTGAGGCTTTCTTCTCCTCCCGTCTGCTGTGCGCTGCTCCTCCTGCTCCTCTGCCGCTCGCCCGCTCTGAGATCCGGGGACATGTTGTGCGTCTGAGAGGAGGCACGGGAGGGAGGGCGCTCCGCAGCGAGAAACTTTGTGCACATTTCTGGGAGAGGAACAGCAGACATGTCGGCAGCCGTGGGACCCGGTGGCTCCGTGCCGGGGGAGGCGGCTGGTCCCCGAAGCAGAAGCCGTCTCTGAAACAGGGTCTCAGAGTCTGGGGTGTCTCGCGTGTGACCCGTGCGCAAGGTACCAAGTGGAGATGCTCACGTGAGCGTTTTGTCTTTGCGTGTCATGTTTTTCTCAGCTTGCGGGTGGGTGTCTAGGGTGCGTGTGTCTCCGGGGCAGATGTGCAGAGCTGAGTGTCAGCCTCCTCCCCTGCTCCTTTCGCCTGGCGTGGTCGTGGGGTCGTGGGGTTGTGGAGTGTGGCCGTTTGTGGTGTTAGTGTCACTGGATTTGCATATTCAAAGCTAAAAATCAGTGTTGGCTAAGAAGCCAGTTTGAGCTTTGAACACCTTAATGCCGTCACCCGTGGTTCTGGGGCTGTGGACTTTGGTTCTGCCCATCGAATTCACTTTGTTCTTTATAAACCGGGAAAATAAACAAGCACCCAGTGGCTTTTGTGTTTTGGTGTGGAGGGTCCTCACCGCTTGCTCTTTCTGAGTCACCAAGAGCTTTTCTTGTCTCAGCATCACCTTTGACATCATTGGCTGGTAAAGTTGGGTGTGTAATAACCCAACATCTGGGGCAGGGGCGGGGGTTGGTGGCTGCATGTGGATTTGGTCTTGGGGCACGGACCGTGTGACTATAAAGATGATAATCACAGTGATGATTATAATTATCCTTTTGGGAGAGGAAGGTGGGGAATTTTGTCCTGGTGGCTTAAAAAAAATCACAGGGAAACCTGAGGACGTCTCTGAGGCTAGTGGCTGCATGAACAAAAGGGTTCACACGAACAGAGGGTGTTGGGACAGACCCGGGGGGCCCGGTGTGGTGCTAGGGGTGCACTCCGGCTCTGTCTCCTCGGAGGTGCCCGCGGAGTCTGCCCTGACCTTACTCTGGCCTGGGGAGGGGCTGCTGTGTCCTCACCCAGGACTGGCCCGAGTTCCCTGCACAAGAGCCTCCCCCCTGCCACTGGGCTTGGCTGTGATTGTCACCTCCTTCCATATGGCCGGTTAATTGATGGTAAACAAAAGAGAGGCAGCCCAGGGACTGGAGTCTTGCAGTGGCCAGCCAGGTGCACTGTCCCCCTGGGTGGCTGTTCCTGGCGCAGAGGAGTGGGTCAGGGCTCAGAGGGCAGTGTGCTTCCAAGGAGAGAGAGGCAGCTCTACGAACTCTTCTGTCCTATGGAGACTGAAGCTCCTACTGGGTCCCCCCTACCGCCTGGGCACCGGGGCAGTGCCAGACCTCACACGGGTGCTTGCTGGCCCAGGAGGCTGAGCAGGAGTCACTGGGAGTTGGGCATGAGGATCTTTCCATCCTGGCACCTCCTGGGCTCTGACCCCTCAGACCACAGCCTCCCCACGTGGGTCTAGGAGCTCACTTGGGGCAGGGGGGCTGCTTTTGTCTAAAGTGCAGCTCAAGGGGCCTGTGTGTGACCCTCAGGCATTGCCCACAGATCTGGAGGCAACCCCAATGCTTGGAGCCAATGCTCTGGCCCCTCGTGGAAGATTCCAGCAAAGGTAGTGGTCACTCGTAGCCCCGAATGCCCCTGGTGCCCGAGTGGGGAGAACCCACTCTTGGGTGACCCTTCTGCCCTTTGGGGCTGCGAAGTTGCTCTGTCCTGGGGGCTAAAGCAGCCCCTACTTGAAAGTCCTGGTGCTGTCCGGAGACGCCAGGTCGAGCGACCGGAGGCTGTGCTGGGTGGGCCACACTGAGGCAGCTCGCTTCCGCCATGCTCACTCTGGAGGCAGCCTCGAGGGTGGCTGGGCCTTGACCTGTCCCCTGGCCGTGGTGGCACTCTCCCAGATGCTGCCTGGAGCCCGTCCCTCCCCCTCTGGCCTGGGGCCACCACACGTGCAGAGGTGGCCTGGGTGGCGCTGTTTCTGGTGAGGGGCAGAGAAGGCTCCCACTGCCCTGCGTCTGGGAGACGGCACCTTCCTGGTGCTGCCCACCTGGTGAGGTCTGGACCTTTGGGGATGCTGGTTTGCAGGGCCCAGCCCTGGGCAGAGAGCGGGAGAGGTCCAGCAGACCGATAAGTGCCACAGAGGCACCTGCGGCCTCTGGAAGCTGCGTGGAGGCCGTGGGGGCCGAGCTCCCCTGGATGGGCTTGGTGCCAGAGGTCTCCCCTGGAAAAGAGCAGCAGGGAATGGAGTCGCCGCCCTCTGCCTGGCTTGGTGGGGAGGTGGGGCCAGGAGCAGCCTGAGCACTTTGGTCAGCACTGGGCTTGGGGTGCAGGTGGAGGGCAGGGGCTGGCCCAGCGGCTCCACCTGAGAGGGGGCTGTGAGGCTGGTGGGGCTGCGGGTGGTCACGTGATCCACGGGCAGGCCGGGCACTGGATGCCGGCCAGACCTGCAGGTCACTCAGGCACCTCGGAAAGAGAGTCCTCTGCCCACCCCAATCCTGGAAGAGTCGACCCAGAGACCCCTCTCTGCTGGCTTTCTTCTTGCAGAAACCTGGGCAGGAGACCCCAGCAGGGTGCCTGGGCTGGGGGTCCCTTCTCTCGCCTCCACCAGCCCCTCCATCCTCCGCATCCTGGACCCTCCCTCTACCCTGTCCTGTGAACTCACTTGTGAATACACAGAAGTTAGTTGTCTACGAATGTGATCTTAGCAGGAATTCTATGGTGTGTTTACAGGAAGATGGTCTCCGGGAGCCAGCGTCACTGGGTTAGTCAGGCTGAAGTGATGTCACGTTTCCCAGAAGGGCGAGCAGCAGGCTCGGTCCCCTGACCCCCCGGGGCCTGTCCCTTCTCCAGGGCACCCGCCGGGGGCTGGCCACTGCCTGGCAAGCGTTTGCGTAGGGTGGGGCACGCGCCTCCATTAGCTGTCTTTCATAGGTGGTTGAATTTCCCCAAATGTCCCTTTAAAAAACTCCAAACAGAAATGAGTGAGAGGCACTTCCACCAGAATTAATATGTTTTGATGTCAGGCTTCCACTGAGCCTGCTTCAGAGAGAATAGATTAATACATGCTTGCAAGGGGAAAGCGTGGTCTGAGATGTTACCGGAGCCAACGCAGAGCGAGTTTGGGCCTCTCCCCCAGCTGGTGCCATTAGGAGCATGTGTGCTTTTTCTTCTTTTTTTTATTTTTTTGTGAGAAGATGAGTTTTTCCCATTGCTTCATCCCTTTTTTATTACCTTTTTACTTTTCTTTTTTTTGAGACAGAGTCTCACTGTGTTGCCCAGGTTAGAGCATCTCTTTTTCATTTTCAAATTTGCACTTAAAAATGCAATATTGGCTGGGCATAGTGGCGTCTGCCTATAATTCCAGCACTCTGGGAGGCCAAGGCCGGAGGATCTCTTTTTTTAAAAATTTATTTTTATTTTTATTTTTTTAAGTCTCCTCGTAGTAACTTCTACAGGGAGGATCTCTTGAGGCCAGGAGTTCAAGGCCAGCCTGGGTGACATATTGAGACCCTGTCACTACAAAAAGTGGAAAAAATTAGCCAAGTGTGGTGGCTCACACCTGTAGCCCCAGCTACTTGGGAGGTTGAGGTTGGGAGATCACTTGCGCCCAGGACTGTGAGGTGGCTGTGATCGATCACACTGCTGCACTCTAGCCTGGGTGTCAGAGTGAGACCCTCTCTCTAAAAGTAATAAAATGAATTGAAATAAAATGTTGTTATAATCAGAGAAATGAAAGTTACTCACAGGACGTTTTAATCTGCCAGCATCAGTCCGGCCCTTGGAGAGGGCAGAGGTCGTAGGCGGTCATGGGTGTCCATGGTGACTCTGTGCTCAGGCAGCTGCAGGATACAGGTTTGCCCTGGGGCTGCTTGGGGTCATTTGGACAAGTGCACTGTGCCTTGGGGTCACTTGGACAAGTGCACTGTGCCTTGAGGTCATTTGGACAAGTGCACTGTGCCTTGGGGTCACTTGGACAAGTGCACTGTGCCTTGGGGTCACTTGGACAAGTGCACTGTGCCTTGGAGTCATTTGGAGCTGTGGTCCACTATGCCTTGGGGTCATTTGGACAATTGCACTGTGCCTTGGGGTCATTTGGACAAATCCACTGTGCCTTGGGGTCATTTGGACAAGTGCACTGTGCCTTGGGGTCACTTGGACAAGTGCACTGTGCCTTGGGGTCATTTGGACAAGTGCACTGTGCCTTGGGGTCACTTGGACAAGTGCACTGTGCCTTGGGGTCACTTGGACAAGTGCACTGTGCCTTGGGGTCACTTGGACAAGTGCACTGTGCCTTGGAGTCACTTGGACAAGTGCACTGTGCCTTGGGGTCACTTGGACAAGTGCACTGTGCCTTGGAGTCATTTGGAGCTGTGGTCCACTGTGCCTTGGGGTCATTTGGACAATTGCACTGTGCCTTGGGGTCATTTGGACAAATCCACTGTGCCTTGGGGTCATTTGGACAAGTGCACTGTGCCTTGGGGTCATTTGGAGCTGTGGCCTGGGCACGGCCTGTGCTGGACAGTGTCTGGGACAGCCCTGGGAGGACTGGCGTGCACATCAGCAAGTGGGCACCGCAGTCTTCGCGGGCCAGGGTGGCTGGCAAAGCAGGAATGAGCGCTCTGGATCTGGACGTTGTGGAGGGAGAGTGCAGGCAACCATCTGGCCGGAGCTGCTGACAGATCAGCTTGCCGGCCCACCTTGCTCTCACGCCTGGCTTCACACCTCCGCTGCATCCAACACTGGTCTGAGGGCTGGCCACAGCCATCTGGGTCCTCTCCCTTTTCCCCATTTCGCTGTCTGCAGTCCATGCATCGGAGAGGCCATGCAAGAAGAAGGGCCCCAGCGTGGGGCGGAGCCTGCACCCTCTCACCTGGGCCCAGGGCCCTCCCAGTCTCCCTGGCTCAGAGACCCACAGCAGCTGGGAGGCCGCCCCACCCCACCCCTGATTTCTACGTGCGTCTTGCTGAGTCAAACTGTCAAAGCAGTTGGGCCTTTATACTTACAGGGTTAGTTCAGCAGTTGTTCTCTGTGGGCAGCCCGAGCGGTTTCTAACCGAAGGTGCTGCCTCTTCTTTGCTAGACTCAGAGCATGGAGACACGGACCCTCTGGGCTCTGGGCCTCCCAGAGCATCTGTTTTCCTGGGGACCTGGACCTGGGTGGCTCAAAATGACCTGCTTTGTCA